ATTAAGTTATTCATGTATTCTATCGTATAGATTCAAAACAATATTGTATTCATAATGATGAATATATTTATTACTGCCATTTAACTTTATAGAACAAATGAATACTGGATACTTTTCAGTTCAAGGATACGTTTGTTTCAAGTACAATAGACTTTTGAATGAGTTCTCAACATCACTGAAAAGGCACACAGAATAGATGTTTGATAATATTTTGACTCTTTGACCATTGAAAATTTGTTTCCGACAAATTTTATATATCGGATATTAAATCTAGCTAATAATTGGGAGTAGCTAAATGAGAATATTTGATTGCATGGTGGATAAAAGACATTAGCTTAAAAATATAATACAAGTTCGAGCTCAGGTCTTGCTAACTGTTCCAGCGAAGCATCGAAATCGCAACATTATTCAAAACTGTACTCTTATCGTGTCAATGTAGAGTTATCTTATTTATTTACTGTTCTACAGATAATGAAGGTCTCTGAAGAAAATATGATACAATTATAAAGTGATTTAAGTCGAATTGCAATTAACCCATCGCTGCTACTTCTTAATGTTAGGCAAACGTGATTTGAAGCATTTCCGATAAACCTTCCAGTATTTGAGCTATTATCTATAACTCTTTCTCTATCTCAGTCAATGATCTCGTCGTTAGGTTTATAATATGTAGTGTTTTAGATCCATTTCACACACAAATCGAATACTTCGTAACTTCAATCTTTTACAAACTTATCTAACACGCGACAATCGGAACAGTGGGTTTAATATTTTCATCATTTGGAATGGTGAAATTCTGCTGGAAATTAAAATGTGTGGTGATATAGAATATAAGATCAAGTGAAAATTTATGGCTGTACGTGAAACTCATAATTCTGATACAAGCTGGCATTAAACGGAGACTGATATGGGAATTGTCTCACCAGCCTTCAGTTTTCAAATTTCAGATATTCCATAAGGATATTATTATTGGACTTTATATATAGTATACTTTTCGTTTGTCTGTTATGATATGTTTCATATATACACTCAGTTGTGTTGAGTATTAAATCAGTACTCAGATTTGATTGATATTCTATCCACAGACAATCAAATTTTAGGAATTCATGCCCCATTTGATTGGGTCAATCAAAACTGGATTGGATTCACGAACTGAGTGTGTTATCTTCAGACAACTGGTCAACTACAGGAATTCATTATGGTCCATTTGTATGGAAAATTCAGATTGCATTTGTGATGCATATTCAACCATAACAGTACCATGGTTAGTGCTCTGCGGGTCACGGCCTGTTATCCTCAGACAATTGGCCTAATTTAAGGCATTCACATTGGCCCCTTATTAGTGTGAAAAACACTTGGAGGTTGTTTGCCCTGGCAACATACAAACATGTATTCGGTTTAAACTCAGTGCTCCCGTGTTCTATGTTAATGACAGGAAATGTCTTGTTTCTGACTATTGAACGTGATTGTGCTACAATTATTGTAAATTGTCTGGAATTTGATTCTTATCTTAACAAGAATCCAGATTGCATCTGAAATTTGAACCTTATATTTAAAATTCTCATTAGATATGATTTATGCGTCTATTGGCTTGTTACATACAAGTTATATTCAGAATAGTTCTCAAATGCGATACTGGCGTTGATGTTTTGCCCAAATGGCTTGTGACAAAATCTTTAATCATAATCGAGCAGTCTAATTGACGAGTCTCAAAAGATGGTAATTTAGGACCACAATGAATTGTTATGGGCGCAACATATAATATTGCATATTATATTCATATAGTAGACCGAAATATATATTTTACCTTAAACGTGAATACACACCATGGAGGGCTAAACAATAGTTGCAGGTACAATTAACTAATGCCCATTTTATGATGCCGACAATCGTTTCTAATACAAAAACTCACCTTCAGATAAGCCTTGCCTTGTATGAGCAAAGAAAAGGAACTCACTGAACTTGCCTACAAGAGTTTGGGGCCGTAACATAAAAGGTTCATCTAGCACACTTCAGTGATCAGAGTTCTAGAGCTTTTTCTCCTCCATTCTAAAGAGTCTGTATACTCATTTGTGTTCTGAAACGTTCAAAGTGTGAAATATCAATTTAAAGTCTAAACGAGTTATTTTTGTACGATATGAATTTGTTTCTCAAGTTTACTTAGACATTTAAATGGCTAGAGTGTTGTATACTAACTGATAGATTTGTAGATTTATCAAGAATTTTACAGGAAGTCAATAACATCTGAATAATGACCCACTCCAATAGTTTGTAATGATGAAAGACGGGAATAAGTCTGAAGTAAAGATAAGAAAAGAAAACTTTGTGATCAGCAGTTAAATTCCGTACTTCGGGATTCTTGAAATGATGAGAGCACATTCTGAAATAGATACAGTTCGATACATTACATGGAAGTAATCGAGACATGAGTGACAGGGCTGTATTTGGGATTCCCTTGTGGGAATTATAACTACGGGGCATGTTCATTGTGATACATTACCAAGCGTCATAGTCATCATTTCGTGTGAAGTCTTAAGGAACGTGAATAAGTGAACGGAATTTGAATAATCTTAGTGTCTGAAGCGTAATCAACGAAAGGCTGTGTGGAGTCGCTATTCATTTTTCATTTTAAAAAGTAATTTTTCTTGGATAATTAAAATGATGTTTATGTAAGCATGGATACTATTTGGAAAGCTTTAGATGATAGTGGCTAGATTCGGCCAAGGGGATAGTAAGTGACTATTGGAGGATTTTCATTTGATTTTAACAATTAGTGACTATATAATGACTTTTTAATGTATACCACCAATATGGACTTCCTTCTCCAGGTATTTTATTTATATTCTTTCAATTTATGAAGAGGTGTTAGTTTTTGAATGGTCCTAAGAGTTTATTCTGTATAGTACGATCAGATTCAGAACCTAAATTTCAGCAACCTTCAGCATGTGGTACTGTTCAGAAGAAAAGTCTGATTTAAATTAAAAGAAACAAACTGCATGAACCGTCGGAACGTTGTCACCATTGAGCTAAGCTAAGTCTGCACGCTATTTTGACACAATATTTTGAACGTCAGTTAAAGTCGCGATAGCCAAAACCCAAAATATTCTGGACTTCCAATACTACTTACCTAGATTATACAGTGTAAACCAGTGTCGGATTAAGTTCTATGTAGATGAAAATTCTGTAAATAGCCACATCCCTCCAATGATCATATTAATATGACACTAGTACGTGAGTGCAAAATAACACTTTTTGTAGCATTTATTCGTAGAAAATAATTAATAATCATAAAATTAACAGTTTCTGATTGGTTCAATCACTACAGAAACCGATAAGATTTCACAAAACAATACCATATTTTGTAATTCAAACACCCCCATTCTCTCTTAAAAGAATATTTTTAGATTCTTATTAATTCAAGTCTAAGAATTCACCTAACCCGTCAAATTTTCTACGAAATTTCATGGTGTGAAATGAGAAAACTCTTTATTTTGAAGTTCTGTCAAACATTATTCTTTTTAAATTCATTCATTGTGGTAACAAGTTTTTAACTTTTCATGTCAGCGATGGAACTATTTCGCAATATTCCATTAACATTGAAGATATATTGATATTTCACAGAGTACGTTGTCGTTAAGCTTCATCATTTACACCGTTCATTACTCTCAATTATTGAAGGCATCTAGTCCCCAAAATACTCCTTTTACCAGCTGATAGAATTCAATGTATCCGTATCATTTTTTAGATTGAAATTCTTTATCGGGTTCGCATTATGAAGTTAGAATATGGGTCCATTGAGAAATGCATGTAAATGACGCCCAGGAAGTATATAAAAACAGTGTAAACTTCCACAAAACTTTTGCTGAATTGCAGGAGAAAGCCTATCGGACGTAGAATTCTAAATCTAAAAAGTGTCACGGATATTTATAAATCGAGCTGTTAAAGTAAAAATTTAGATGACTATATCACTTTAATATAATGTTTTAAAGTGGATATATTAAAAAGATCTTGAAAATGGAGATCAAATTTCAATACTGTCAATTCCAAAGGTTTTGTCCGTTAGATTTCGAAGGTTTTGTCCATTAGGTTTGTCATGTATTTGGCGATGCATCATATCTTTCGATTTTAAATCTGAAAAGTAATACACAGCTTAAAGGTAAAGGTAAAAACATGATCGTAGTCCATATTCCTTTCAGAATTTTCATAATTCATATCATGTTTAATATATTAGTATATTAATTGTGGTTGGTAATAGGAAGCTTATACCATTATTGATTGGAAATGACAGAACTATATAATCGTATAAAGCTCCTATATAGCTCTTTGGCATTGACCATTTACTCAGAAACAGGAGAGACATGGAACCGGATAGGAACCGGGATAGAAGTTCTGTACATTTGTCAGTCATGAGAATATAGTCGAAGAGTTATAACAGTTGGCTCTACAGCTACGGCAGTGAACATCTTCTCTTTCTGGTTGACTGGTCATGAGCTGTATGAATTTTAAAGATTTTTTCGCTTATGAATTATTTTAACCAATGATCTATAATGGCTATGGCTTTGATCTCGTTTCAGAGGAGACCCTCGTTTCCAGCTGGCGGCTTGGAATGGAGTGGTGGAAGACGAAAATCCAGTTTTGCGAGTCGGTATCGTAAAAACAGTTCTACCATGACAGATTTGTTGGATGGTGATGAATCGAATGACAATGAAGCAAAATGTGAATGTAACTGTGGACTCCAAACGAGTCCGGATGAATCTTTACCAGATCGCAATCAAAACTCGCGTCAAGGGGACACTATACATGAAAATAGATGTTCTTGTCAAAGCACAACGCCGGGTCGTCAATCGAATCGTAAACGACGAAGAACCAACCATAAAGATACGATTCGTATGAACATAGGTGGCCATATTTTTGAGACTTATCGCTCAACTTTAAGGCGTCTGAAAACATCGATGTTAGCAAACGATGATAAATTGAGAGACTACTATAGACCGGAAAAAGAAGACTATTTCTTTGATCGTGATCCAACAGCATTTGCAGCAGTTCTAAATTATTTACGATCAGGGGAACTGCATATACCTACCAATATGTGTGGACCGTCTTTACAAAATGAGTTGCTGTTTTGGGGAATTGATGAACTGGATATTGAAAGGTGTTGTTGGACTAATTATAATACGTGGAAAACTCAGTGTCGTTCTCTAGAAAAATTGGAATATGACAGAAAATTGTCCACAACTCAACATATTGTTTTAAATAAACATAATTCAACTTGTTGGCAGCGATATCGTAGTAGAATATGGACATTCTTACAGGATCCTACATCATCAGTGAAGGCTAAGGTTAGTATTTTTACATCATTTTCATTACATCAATAATTACATATGATCTACCTATTTAGAATTTGAATTTTACTACCGAAAAATACCTGCCACTGGACCAATCCAGTTGGACACATCGAAAGTCTAAATAGTTTGTTATTTACAGGAAGTTTAACCAAACCTCTTTGCCCAATTACACCACCATCGCCAGGATTCAATGTATCCACAATCACTGTCACAAAAAAACAAGTCATATTTGTGGGGTTGTGGAGAATGCTCTGAGTATGCATGAGGAATACATGAGTTTTTCACACAAAAAAAATGCGCTTTTGAAATTTATACAATCATATTATTTTCTAGTGAAAATTTGGGTTATTGTTTACTTAGTTACTATTTACTTATTATTTGATAATCACACAAATGCCAAAGATGTAACTGATTATAAATATACGATTTCAATATATATAGACAAAGCTTTATGGAACAACAATCACTGGTTAAAGTTTTATGCAACGTTTCAACGTGTTTTCCCCGTCGTCCTCAGGCACATAATGATAAGAAGTGATGGGCAAACTATATAAATATACACGTCATAACGTTGCATAAAACTTTAACCAGTGATTGTTGTTCCCTAAAGCTATGTCTATATATCGTACTCACAATTGCTAAATGCCATTCAAAGGATTTAAATATATATATATATAGCCCACATTTATGGGTTTAAAATAATATGCTATAAACATTAACACTGTATGCTTTAGTCATAAATATTTTAAGCTTTGATCACTGATATTCCAGGCTAAAAAAGTAGTACGTTATTTTCAATCCCAGTAAAAAAAACTAGGTCAAACAAAATTAAAGTCATAAAAATATAAAAGTTAAAGTATTGTTTGTGACAAGTCTTTATAAAAATCATACTTTCCAATTCCCAAAGTCATCAAAATTCTACAACGTAATCCTCTTTCGACAGAGACCAATGTTTTAGCCATTATATTGACAAATATCACATGAGATAAATTCTGAACGTATTCCACTTTTTAACTGATATTTATTGCTGACTCTTACTTTGTCAATGATACAATTTGCCTAATCTGAAACTTGCTGAATCTCCGTCTCTGAATATTTTATGACTAATCTGAAACTTGGTTTCTATTACCAAGCCTGTGGTAGATATTTGACTAATCTGAAACTTGCAGACTCTCACTCAGCCCTAATAGGTATTTCACTAATCTGAAACTTGCTGAATCTCCGTCTCTGAATATTTTTTGACTAATCTTAAACTTGGTTTCTCTGACACAACCTATTGTAGATATTTGACTAATATGAAACTTGCTGACACAAGTCCTAATAGATATTTACTAATCCAAAAAATTGCTAACTCTAGCTCAGCCTCTTACCTCACCAGTTAATACTACTCAGCAAGCAGAGTGTCTAAAATTTTAGCCTCCGAAGATGATTGTCTGATAAAGTGTCAGTTGTCTTAAGCTGGTTTATCACAGAACTTCTCTGAATTGCCAATTTCACTAAAGAGCTTCTGGAATCGCAAATTGACTCATCTGATTTCAAATACTATAAAAGTCCACGATTCTCTCTGAAGAAAAGGATAAATTTACGTCTCACTATTGTACATTTTCCAGCTTTCGAGGATCTCCAATGCTGACAAGGTGAAAATCGGGTTGCAAATACTACCCAAGGTTCAATCTCGACTTATGCCAGGGCCTTCAGATCAGAGTGAAATCACCAGATCTATTAGTCTACGTCGCTGCCGAATCTGTTGTATAACAAGTCCGAACAATGTGTGATAAGACACTCTGACAAATATATATCAGAGTAATATTAAATTTTGACATGTACAGAATGGCGACTTGTTCAATTTCCTAGCTGTATATCATATTTCACATTTTATAACGTGTTCAAAGTTTTTAATGAATTCTATTCTGGTGTAATAATCAGGACTGGCTTATCAGCCTCAATGTAAGTGCTTATTCCGTGCCAAGAAAATTCATCAAATTTGATTTTATTTCCTTCAATATAGCGGGAGATCTCTAATCTAAAAAGATAAGTTTAATAGAATTTCTAAATTTGAATATTCCCTGCATATAAATCACCATTCCAGGCGGCTGACCTTGGTAGATGATTACCATATTGACGGTAAGATCTTGAATTACTAATTGACAGGCGTAGTGAATTATCAGGGTATGACTGTGGCTAATTCTTGATTAACCGATCCAAAACAAATTTAGGTCAGAAGTCAGAAAACATTCTATAATTTTGGATCTTGGCAGATGTTTGACCTCCATCGGGTTGTCTTGATTTAATAACTATGGCTTTGAATTCATTAATTCCTAATTCTCAATGAAATGGATGAAAAGGTCATTCGTAAACCTATAAGATTTAAAACCTAAGTAATATCAAAAACTTCATTAAATATGCCATCTACAATTATTATAAATACCGTGTCGTCTGCCGCTAGCTTGGCAGGACATCCCCACTTGAGAACACATCAGATGCCACTCTCCAACTGGATTTGTGAACTCGACATTCCTTCAAGAGAGGGGCAATGGTGTATGTTGCTGTTCATATGGTAGTCCGATACTTTTGTCTTTTCTATAGCCTCTGGAGTAGAGGCTAATGTTTCGGTCAGACTATTCATACGGTAGTCATTTACCAACACACTTACGACAACTGTTCATATGGCAGTCATATGGTGGTCCGAAACATCTGCCTCTTATACAGTCTCTGATAGATAATTTGAGTTGCCTTTTCATGACGTATTATTTGATTTCTGAAAGACATATTATTCCAGCGGGAGCCAGAAATCAGCAATTTTTTCTTGGCTGGTTACCATAATTGAAAATGTTGATTGTCTACTAATGCCTAATTGCAGACTGACTGCTTTGATTCTTGTTGACTTTTGTCTCCCCCCGCGAGCTATTTCGACAGATGTCTTCAAGCTGAAGCTGGAAAATTATTGGCACTGTCATCAGTCTTCCTTGATGATATAATCTTATAGATAGTAATGTCTAGCTTGTAACAAATTTCAAGTGGCCAGCAGGTGGACAGAATATGTTACATTCTATTTGAGCATTGGTCATTAGCACGGTTACTTCGATCAAATGGTGGTCCTGGGTTCTAATCTTGTTAGACGTGTGAACTTCTATTGAATATTAGTTTTGAGAATCTGAGAGGCTGGCTGACATCTATCAACATTTCAAATTTAATCTATATTTGACTTATATTCTTGACTTGACTTTTAAATGTCCCATTTGTAATCAATCTCGGGAGCGTCGTTGATTTGTGCTCAAATGGTAATTAATTGAATCACGAAACAAAGCTAATGAAGGTAGGTCCAATATTCAAAATAGTTAGCAATTAGAAATCATTCGAATTACCACCACTGCAAGATGAAAACGAGATATACAGAACGGAAAACTTAAATTCAAGTAATAATTCACAATTTCAGTTTTTGGCAAGATAAAAGGCCCATTAAATAGAAATTCTTTAAACTTTAAACGACACCACTCTACTTTATTTACCGATCAATACTGCAAAGTTTAGACACTCTTCGCTCAAAAGTGCTGGAACAATGAAAGCTTTTAAAATATCATGTTTCAAAGTTGCTAAGATTTGATATTTAATTAAAGTAGTTTACGCCATGGTATAGAAATTTGTATGATAACCCGTTGTGATCTGTCTGCAAACGAATGTTTGAAGGAAGCTGCATCCTAGATAAACCTATACAAATAATGACTCTGCACCAAGCAAATACTAAACTTGACTTTAAACCTAAATTTAATCAATTATAAGAACTTATGAAGAATACCACAATCTGCAGTAGCCGGTTTTGCAGCTCTTAGGTGTTGGCTAGCTGCTCTTGTGCGGGGTATGATAGCTGGTCAGCATTATCTCCTAGGCTTTTCTGTCCACCGGAAACTACTATTGCCAATCTGCTTGATAGTTGGACGCTATATATCGTTTGGGGTTTCCTTATATCAATGGTGTAAACCAAATCTTTCAATTAATTACCAACTGCACGTTAACGACCCCATGAAAAGGAATCGGCGCAATGGTGCCAATCTCAAGGCAAAATCATCCTATCATGTCTACCTGTGTTGCAACTCTTCAGTGACCTATACAAGACGTTCGTGAATTCCTGGCACAATATAACTGTGTATTATCTAGAAAGCAATTACCCTATTTACATGGTACATGTATTTTCAGGAATTAGTGTCATTGTAAATGAATAATAGAACTATTGTGATTGACATATATGATAACTAATTTTCTCTATTCAGTGATATCTATTTGCATACTGTTAATTTCCCTATATTTCCAATTGATTTCTTCGATAGCCTTTATATAAAGTAAATTGTATTGTAAGGTCTAAAATGGGTAAACCTATTTCAACGTCCAAAGGCATCCGACACTAGACTATCAATGTCTTACTGAGCTACAAAGACAGTTGGTACTTTTTGCCAGGATATTATCTTGGAAAAGGAATTACGGATAGGGTATAAAAGGTCACAATCGTCTACTCTTTTTAACATGTCTCCCTTGAAAAATAATTCAATTTCTTTGACCTTAGTTCAGGGCTTAACCAGATGGTCACTTATGGTCTTGGATTATTAGCTATTCCACGCCCCCCCCCCCCCC